TCTTAATTTGTTCACTTACTTAAAATTAGATAATAAATGTGTTCTTTTAGGTAATTTGTGCAGATGTACTGGATATCGTCCTATTTTAGATGCGGCCAAAACGGTAAATTATTTCTTCATTCTTAGAAATCTATCTTTTAATTATATATTAATGTTCGTTTTTATTTTGTTTACAGTTTGCTAATCCACACAAGAATTGTGAAACTTCAGAGGTATAAAAGAATATGTAGTTGAATATAAGAATATATATGAATATATATGACATCCTTATTGAATTAATTTGTTATATAGAATTTAGGATGTGGTCGTGCAGATTGTTGTAAATTGAAAAATACTGAAAATGATTCTACTTTGGATCTTAAATTTCCACAAGTATGTTGTATTTATTATGTTGTATTTATTATTTTTATTATTTACAATTTTTGATTTATAGCTTTATTAATTACGTCAATTCAAGATACATTTCAAAAAATATGATGAGACACAAGAGTTAATATTTCCTCCGTCGCTCATGAAACACATTCCCGAGCTTCTTTGCTTCTCTGGCAGAAAGTCAACATGGTTCAGGCCCGTTAATTTGAGTCAACTATTATACTTGAAATCAAAGTATCCGTATGCAAAATTGATATCAGGTAACACTGAAGTTGGAATAGAGACTAAGTTTAAAAAATTAAGATATGATGTTCAAATTTTTGTGGGTGATATACCGGAGTTGAAAACCTGGGAATTCAAGGGTGAATTTTTACTCGATTCCTATAATATAGTCTTGTGTAAATTTTTCTTTTTTATTTATTAGTTGGGTACTTTATTAGATGATGGATTATTGATCGGCGCAAATATAAGTCTTTCGACACTTCAAGAAATTTTACAAGATGCACTCAAACGTTACGAGGTTTGGATCTTTATACTAAGCTTTGATTACTGCCTTATGAAATTAAAATATTTAAGTAATCCCATTTATTATTATTATTATTTTAAAGCCTTATCAAACACAAATATTTAAGGCACTTTTGGAAAATCTTCGCTGGTTTGCTGGCAATCAAATCCGTAACGTAGCAACGCCGGCGGGAAATATTGTTACGGGCTCTCCGATTTCAGATCTGAATCCCATTTTCCTTTCATCCAAAACATTATTTATTCTTTCTTCTTTAGAACCATCATCCATGGTAGCAACAGATCGAACTGTTCTATCTGAATCATTTTGGACAGGATATAGGCAAAATTGTTGTAAAGAAATGGAAATTTTAAAAAAAATCTTTATTCCCTTCTCAAAGCAAGGACAATATATTAGAGCTTACAAACAGGCTAAAAGACGTGATGATGATATTGCTATTGTCAATGCTGGGTTGTCTGTATTATTGGATGATGATAACAGTGTGAAAGAGGCTTCATTTTCCTTTGGAGGAATGAGTTGGGTTACTGTTAGAGCACCTGAATCTGAGAATTTTGTTTTGGGCAAAAAGTGGGGTGACCAAAATGTTTTAAAAGGTCTTCTTGAAAAGTCGTGTGAGGTACATATTCCTTTTAAATATTCGTTCTAGATTTTGCAATTATATATTTACAACTATGTATTTTTTTTTTTTTTTTATTGGATATATGCAATAGGAATTTCAAATGAACTTTTCCACACCTGGCGGTATGGCGACATATCGCAAATCATTAGTTGCAGGATTTATGTACAAGTTTTGGTACGATGTTTCAAAATCGGCTAATATAATAGTGGATGATTGTGATGGTGGTATTGAAAATTTTGTTGGAATAATTGAACGTGATATTTCAAAAGGTGTTCAGACTGTTGGGCAAGCAGAGTAAGTATTTTATTCTTTCTATCTAGTATTTTCCTGTTAACAGAAAGCTTTAATGATACTCTCTTTGATAGGGAAGACAAGAAAATTGTTGGCAAACAAGTTCCTCATGTATCAGCTATGAAACAGGTTACTGGTGAAGCGAAGTATACTGATGATCTACCAAAGGTTCATGGCGAATTATATGGAGCATTGGTTTTGTCACAAAAGGCTCATGCAAAAATATTAGGGTAATTAGCTTTACAATATAATAAATAGTATTATTTTTTAGTTTAAACTATTAATATATGTTAATAGAATTGATGCAACTGAAGCATTGGCTCAACCTGGAGTAAAAGGTTTCTTTTCGGCAAAGGATGTGCCAGGAAATAATGTTTGGGGACCCGTGTTGCGTGACGAAGAGGTTTTCGCCAGTGAAGAGGTTAATTGTGTGGGCAAGTTATTTAATATTTTATATTATAATAATACGTTTTACAGTCGATTCTATGCTTCAATGCTGTAATATAACGATGGATTCTAGAATTTGTTTAGTGTATTTGTTGTAGCAATAAGTTTGTACTTACAAGTAGAGTTGACTGTAAACAGGAGAGTTCTTCATTTTATTTTGTAGTCAATTTGTAACTAACAAATTCATCGTACATTCTTATTACAGGACAAATTATCGGTTTAGTAGTAGCTGAAACACAAAAAATTGCACAAGAAGCAGTGGGTTTGGTGAAAGTACACTATTCCGAGTTGCCTCATATTTTAACTATCGAAGAGGCGATTGAAAATAATAGCTTCTTCCCATTGAATAGATGTATAGTAAGAGGAGATGTAGAAAAAGGGTTGGAGGATGCTGACTTTGTTTTTGAAGGTATGATGTATCAAATGACCATTTATTATTTGATAAAAAATCTTATATTAGCTTATACTATTACGTAGGTGAAACAAGAATTGGTGGTCAAGGTATGTTTTTTTTTTTCTGAATTAATAAATTTGTTGTACTTATTAGCATGTCCGGAATGTGTGACAGGTTGATCGACAAAATTAAGAAAAAAATTTTTTATTTCAAAATTTTGCCTATGAAACTGCTCTTGGTGCTCTAAGAAAAAAATTCTACTCATAATTCTGGTTTGAGTTTTGGCCAAATCCTCTTTCTAATTCCTTCCAATCTGATCCTAACGATTAAAATCGATTTAATATTGGCGATGTTGATCAATTAGCATAACCTGTCACACATTCCGGTCTTGCTATTTATTAACCATGTATTAATCTTCATCTAAATTGTCTTAGAACATTTCTATTTGGAGACACAAGCTACATTAATAATTCCAAAATTCGAGGACAATGAATTCGAAATTCATTCGTCAACTCAAAATCCTACCGAGACACAATTTGAAGTTGCCTCAGCACTTGGTATTGATGCAAATAAAATTGTATGTCGAGTAAAAAGGCTTGGCGGAGGTTTTGGTGGAAAGGAAACGAGAAGTATTCCTTTATCATTAGCACTAGCAGTTGGCGCATGGCATCTTAAAAAACCTATTAGATGTATGTTAGATCGTGATGAAGATATCATCATATCGGGACAAAGACATCCTTTCTTAGGGCGGTGGAAAGTTGGGGTGACTAAGGATGGAAAATTGCTAGCAATGGACGTACAGGTAAAAAAAAATTTACAATTTGAATCTTTTAAACTTGTTTTTTTTAGCTATTATAAGTACAGACTATTATAATATTTACAGGTCTACAATAATGGTGGTTGGTCAGCAGACCTTTCTTTGGCTGTACTTGAGCGCGGCATGACACATTTAGATAACTGTTATTATGTACCAAATGTACGAATAACTGGACATGTTTGCAAGACCAACATTCATTCAAACACAGCCTTTAGAGGATTTGGAGGTCCTCAGGGGATGATGATTACCGAAAATATGATGAGTGAGATTGCCGATCGTATGGGTATTGATGTTAATGATTTTCGGGTACGTTATTCATAAGTCTTTTTTTCTTTTGTTTATTTATACATTATTGACTTCTTTTTCGAACAGGAAAAAAACTTATACGTAGAAGGCCAAAAAACGCACTTCAACCAAACACTCAAGGACTGGAATATACCTTTGATTTATCGTCAAGTTAAAAACGATAGTGAATTTGTTAAGCGAAGAGAAGAAATTAACAAATTTAATTCTGAACATAAATGGCGGAAAAGAGGGTTAGCGTTGATACCAACCAAATTTGGAATTTCATACACAGCACTGCATCTTAACCAGGCAGGTGCTCTGGTACACATTTACCATGATGGAAGCGTTCTTATAAGTCATGGTAAGTTATGGTACTCACAATTTTCTTATTGATTTTTGATATAAATTCTGGTTGCTAATTTTACCGATTTAGGCGGAGTTGAGATGGGGCAAGGTCTTCACACCAAAATGTTGCAAATTGCAGCTGAAACTTTGGATGTTCCATTGGAAACTGGTATGCATATTTTAAATATTTGTGGTTTATAAAGTTGATAACGTATATTGATAATTTCAAATTATTTTATTTATTTAAATAGTCCACTTAATGGAAACTGCTACAAATTTAGTCGGCAATACTTCAGCAACGGCAGCTAGTGTTAGTAGCGACATTAACGGATATGCTGTATCAAATGCTTGTAAAACTTTGGTCGAAAGATTAAAACCATATCGGGAGAAAATGCCTAATAAAAGTTTTAAGGAGGTAGTATTCATTATCATCTATTATTACTACTATGGTCGATATTATAACCGTTGTAAAACAAAATTTGTTCAATAAATATAGATCGTGCATGCTGCATATTTCGATCGAGTAAATTTATCCGCTAATGGATATTACAAAACTCCCGATATAGGTTATAATTGGGATAAAAATGAAGGACAAATATTTTTTTATTTTACAATGGGTGTAGCATGTACAGAAGTCGAGATTGATGTATTAACAGGCGACCATACAATTTTGAGAACGGATTTATGTATGGATATTGGTAGAAGCATAAACTATGCGATAGATGTAGGACAAATTGAAGGTGCTTTTGTGCAAGGTGTTGGTTGGTGTACTATTGAAGAAACTTTACATTTTCCAAATGGACATATATTTACTAAAGGACCTGGAAATTATAAATTACCCGGATTCAGGTTTTTTT